AGTTCAATAACTATATTTATGCCCCATTTGGATAATGTGAGTTATTGAGTTTCTTAATTGTTCTATAAGTATATGATCGAATGTAGATTTTTAGATTGTATTTAAGATTTTTGAATTGTTGTTCGATTTTAGTGATATATTTTAATACTCATGCTTTTTTTCTTTCAAATTGTTGATATCAAATTATAATTAAAATTGATATTAAAACATTGAATATCAATTATTATCGAATTTAAAAATTATTTTTAAAAACAAAAATATGTGAATTTTTTAATTATATGTCGATCTGAGACATCGACTAATCTGAGAATTAATTTTTAAATCATAAGAGTATTTTTATATTTAAAGAATATATCACAATACTTATTATACCTCTAAAATTAAAAAAATATATCAACAACTAAATTATTTTTGAATATTTATAAATTATATATATATCATTAATAAATAAAATATTTCAGAGACTGTAATTTAATTTAACGAGATTAAATAAAGGCGGACTTATCATATTTTCTCTAAAAAATACACGAATTTATTAAAAAAGTTGACATATTTTTAATTAGACTTGTTATTGTGACCTAATTATGTGATAAATCTCAATTATATATTTTATAATTAAAAAAATTTATTACATAATTAATTAAATATAATCTCAAATCTAATATTGAAAATAACCATTTTCTTCTACTAAAAATTAATTTCTCATATCATAAGAGCTGACTGGATCTGATATTTTCCTGAGAAAAGTAACAGAAAAGAAGATTCATTGAATTGAATTGACAAGAGAATCAATGTGTAGTCGCCATTTGTGTGATCAAATCCGTAAGGACATCTCTATTGGAGTTCTCTAGCCACAGAACATCTTGTTTGGCACCATCTTCCTCATCCAACCCACCTGTAACTCTTCTCCAACTTTCTAGACTTGTCTCTTTGTCTGTTCAAATTCCCGCCTCAGCACCTGAAAATGTGCTTCGTCAACTCTCACTGCTTCGTTTCCGACCTTTTTCAATGGCGGCTCTCTTCATTACTTCTCATTCTTCTTCTCCGTCTTCGTGCACTTCCAGAGCAAAGCAGGTCACGAAAAACCCATATTCTACCATTAAGGAAAGCACCCGCCTCTCGTTTTTTTTATGTGCTAAACCTACAGCACGAAGATCCATCAAATTCTCCATCAATGGTCTCCATGGAAGTGAATCCAATTCTTCTTTTGAAAACTCCAGCAACAATGATCCCTTGATTTCTTCCCCGACGAAACACCAATTTGGTTCGAAACCCCACTTCTCATTTTCTGTCTACTGCAAATCCAAATCTGGGAAGGTGGTGAAATTTTCTGTCCAAGAGGATCAGCGAAGCGAACCGACTAATTCATCTTCAGTCACGATGGTATCAGAGGAGCCGAGTAAAGATGATGAAGACCAGAAGAATGAATTGTCTGTGCAAGAAATTGAAGCGAAGAAAGAAAGTCACGGTGAAGAGAAAAATAAGCAGCAAGAAATAGACTGGAAAACTGACGAGGAGTTTAAAAAGTTCATGGGCAATCCTTCAATCGAGGCGGCCATAAAGCTGGAGAAGAAGAGAGCTGATAGGAAGCTCACGAGCTTGACAGGGAGGGCAGTGATAACCCAATTGTGGGGCTTTTCAATAGACTAGTTCGTGATAGTGTGGCAAGAGAGAAGGAGAGATTGGAGAAAGCTGAAGAGTCTTTTAAGGCTCTTGATCTGAACAAGGTATTTCACTTACCTTTCGATTTTCTAATTTGGTTCTTCGTAAAATTGCACGTTTTCCCCTTTGTTTCAACGTTATTATGCTGATTATAGCTTCTGTATCAAGATTCTAGATGATTTTGTCTTATGATATTTCACTTTGATTTTCTTGTTAGTACAGTGAGATGCGATGTCCCGTAGGCTATGTTTGAAACCTCTCCTTGTTGAATAACAATGTAATTGTGATTTTGCTAATGAACTCTGCAAATCTATAGCTTCCTTGGGAACATAGTCTTAGGAAATGAATTATAGCTTGTTTTTGATTCCTTATAAGCGGTATGGTACGTCCAATTTATGTCAAAATGCAACCTATTGAATTAGGTTATATGCTTGTATATCTTAAATAGTGCTTAGTTATTATCTCTGAGTTGTGATTTCCACAGATATTGAAGAGTTTATTTGAAATTGGCAACTGCAGTTGAAGAGCTGTTTTGGTTTTAATACATTTTTTGCAACCGATGTTCGGAGATTTGGAGATGGGGGTATTTTTATTGGTAATTTAAGGAGACCCATTGAAGAAGTTATTCCTGAACTGGAGAGTAAGCTATCTGAAGCCGCAGGAAGGGAGGTTGTGTTATGGTTCATGGAAGAGAAAACAGATGAAATCACAAAACAGGTACTTGACAGATGATTTACAGATGTTGCTCTATGAACATATATATATACGTATACATTTCTATACATACACCTAGTCGCACCGAAACATATGCAAGATGTTTAATTGGCCACTAGATAAAAATTTCTGTAGAAGGTCCTTTGTTGAATTCATTTTTATACTCCTTTAAACCACCGTAGACGAGTCTTTTGCTTCCCAACTGATCGAATTTTTCTGTGGTTAAGTACCCTTTCTTGAAGTAAAACGTTCCTTAGACAAAGAAAATGGAGAGAGACAAGGCCTTCAATTTGAGTATTCTTATTTCCTCTAGGACCAAGCACTCTAGACTCAATAAATTTCCAGAATAAAAATTTCCCAGGAAGAAATGGTTGCTTTAAGCTTTATTTTAATTAATTTTGTTCTTTAAGGTATGTATGGTGCAACCGAAGTCAGAAATTGATCTCCAGTTCGAGTCTACCAAGCTGAGTACTCCTTGGGGATATATTAGTGCAATACTGTTATGCGTTGCAACTTTTGGAACAGTTGCTCTTATGAGTGGTTTCTTCCTTAAACCTGATGCAACATTTGATGACTACCTTGCTGATGTTGTGCCGCTTTTTGGTGGATTCATCACTATTTTGGGAGTTTCTGAGGTATGATCATTTTACTCGCTGATTCCAAGTTTTCATGGTGATATTTGTTAAACTTTCAGTAAGTCAAAGCTTTGTGTTCTGCTCCTTCTATGGCAGTTTAGAAGTAGTTTTTTTTTGTACCCTGATGCTAGTCAACTTTGGAGAGCTGGATGAAACAAATATTGAATATATAAATCCTGCAGCTTAGTCTACTCTTTTAGAGTAGATTCAGCTCTGCACATCCAAACAATATGTGTTCGTTTCATCAACATTAATGAACATCCTTCATGTGGTAACAATTCCAGCATATTTGAAGCTTTGCTAAAAATCAAATTTCTAGTGATCTGATTGAATCATGAGGATAACTGGGGGTTTCAAATCGGGGGATTTGCTGGTCACGAGGAAGAAAAAATTTTGTTTTTGGAAGAAATTGTGAGGATATATGCTCTTAATAAATCAAGATTTTACTAGTTTTTTTTAGTACATATTAGTCCCAAGTATTATGAAGAGATCCAAGGATTATATAGTAGAGGATAAGGTTGAATTTTGGGAAGCTTTTGCTCCTGTCCTTCTACAGAATGAAATTTTGCTGGAATTATGAATTATCTGGCAATACTTCAAACTAGTCATAGGAAATCCTGGAACCATCATTTCAATGGTCCAAGTCATCTTTGATAAAATGAATTAGTCTTTATATTCTAGAAGCATTCACTGCAAATGTTTTCTGGTCAATGCTGTTGAATTTTCATAGATTTAAGTCATTTCTTGAAAGTCTGCCTCTTGCATATATAAACGTAAAGGAAACTGAATTGTTTGCATTATGCAGATAGCAACAAGGGTGACGGCTGCCCGTTATGGTGTTAAACTCAGCCCATCTTTTCTTGTGCCATCCAATTGGACAGGGTGTCTTGGAGTCATGAACAATTACGAGTCACTACTTCCTAATAAGAAAGCTCTTTTTGACATTCCAGTGGCTCGCACGGCTAGTGCATATTTGACATCACTAGCGCTTGCTGTTGCTGCTTTTATTGCTGATGGAAGCTTTAATGGTGGTGATAATGCCTTGTAAGTACTGAAACAGATTATAAGTTTTGAAGTTATTACATCCTAAAATATGGAATTTTACTCAGGCACAAATAGAGGCAAATGCCATGTTGCTAAAACAAACTAGAACCAGAAGTGTATTTTATATGTATAATTGTTCATTATTTTACTGTTCAACTAGACTAACGTATTTTATTTTAATGTGTTTGTGCTTCTTTTGTTGCAGGTATATAAGGCCACAATTCTTCTATAACAATCCCTTACTCTCCTTCATCCAATTTGTCATTGGACCTTATACCGATGATCTAGGGAATGTATTACCTTTATGCAGTGGAAGGCGTTGGAGTTCCTTGTGATCCCCTTGCCTTTGCTGGACTTTTGGGTGAGCCTTTAGCCTCTTTGCTCCATATTATTTGTTATTAAATAAGATGATTTCATTAAGGCAGGCAGACTGGTTCTTTGATTTATGGGTTCTAAGCAGGAATATGGATTCTCTATTTTGTGAAATTAATAATTAGAAATGGCGTAAAGAATGTTAAACTTACCCTTTACCGAATCTTTTGAGAAGGACAAAATATTAAGATATAATATAAATGATAAACATATCATTTCTTATTAGTTTCAACTTTTAATAAAATTGGTTACATCTTATTATTTAATATGATATCAGAGTTATTCACGCATAACTCTATTTATACATAGGAGAAAATGATAAAATACGACATAAATAATAAACTAAGTTGTTGCTATTAATTTAAACTTTCAGCAAAAGTAGTTACGTTTATTATTCAATAACAAGCTTTGGAATTTTGATGGTTTTGCTCTTCTATAGGAATGGTGGTCACTTCTTTGAACTTGTTGCCTTGTGGAAGACTAGAAGGAGGCCGAATTGCGCAAGCAATGTTTGGCAGGAGTACTGCTACTCTGTTATCATTTGCAACATCCCTTTTGCTAGGCATCGGTGGCCTCAGTGGAAGTGTCTTGTGTTTGGCATGGGGGTTATTCGCAACTTTCTTCCGCGGGGGAGAAGAAGTACCAGCAAAAGATGAGATCACTCCTTTGGGAGATGATAGATATGCTTGGGGTTTTGTTCTTGGTCTTATCTGTTTCCTTACTCTTTTCCCTAATGGAGGAGGAACTTTTTCCTCTTCATTCTTCGGCGAACCATATTTTAGGGGCGATATGTGAATGAATTACTAGTTACGAGTGTGTATAGTTTCTCTTTTTTAATGTACATTTCTTAGAATTTTAGTTTTGGTATCAAATAAATATTTCTGATAAATGAATAAATTTTTTCTTAAAATTCACTTTTTATAAGTATTAACAACGAAAATTAAATAAAATAGTGTGTATTTTTTTTAATTAATTGTTAAAATTTTGAATTAAAATAATAAAAAATAAAAATTTTATACTTAATTAGACAAAAACATTAATTGATTAAATTGAACGATAATATAATACTCAAAGAATTAATTCACATTTAGATAATGTTAACTAAATATAATTATAATATATTTGTCTTGTTTAATCGCATAAATATTAAAATTAAAATCTTTTATCATATCTAATCATATAATTTTTAGCCTCATTATTTACAATTATGTTCTAAATTTGCATTAACGACTATTAAAACCACATTTAAATCAAAAAGATTTCAAATTATTTAGGTCATGATGAGTATGTGTAGGTGTCAAATCTGTAAATTTTGATTAAAAAAAAAAGTAAGATTGTTCAATATATTAACTGTTTATGCAATGCACATTCTATAAATTATTGGATTCATATTAAATATATGTTTCAAAATTTATGTGATGAATTTAATGATAAAAACCTTAAAATGCATGCACCTTTAATTTTAATGTATTTTATCAATTTTTAGTTGGTAACAAAAAATTTACAAGTATATATATATATATATATATTTAGTATAATGTAGTATATATTTAATTTTATTATAAATAATAATTGA